ACACCTGAATGTGCAGTGCCTACTAAGGCACCCCATCTTCGATGCCAAGCCTCTACAAAATTTTTAGTTTATGGAAATGCATAATTGATATTATCAATGACTGACCAGAAGTCAGGTGGAATAATGGTGGTGCTCGAATTGCATTCCCATCTCTTAATGTGCGTCTTGTTCTACCATGCACATAGTACTCTTCGAACCATTCTACAATTTCGTTAGCCTCTGGAGGAATATCATCCTTTAATTGATCAAATGCTGCAGGAATGTCATCGGGAGGCAAGAAAGCAAGTGCAGGAATGTGTCTAATTTTCCAACTGAAATTTTTGTCAGTTCCATATTGAACGCTAAGTCCAGAAGCTTGTACTTTCTGGTAAATGCTCTGAGCCAAATGAAATAAACATCCCTTGTTTTGGACACCTTGAAATTCTCTAAGAGCAAGCATTGATGGCTGCTTGTTCGAAATCAATTAAAATAAATTGTGGCCGGATAAGAACACCATTTTCATCACCAAAATAAACCAATCCTGAAACAAATTCCTATAACATTCTTCCGATTTTCTGGACATTAATGCATAGACAAGTGGCATTATTTGTGAATTTTCATCTCTACCAACACGTCCATTAAGAGATAAATTTATTTACTCAAAATGGTTTTTTTGAATGTTCTAGTAAATTTTCCATTGTTGCCACATCATCCTGTTGTTGGTTCAACATTACCCGAAGTTTAATTTAGTCATCAAATATCACATTATGAAATAATAAATGAGATGAAACGTAACACAAATATAAATACAAATAAATAATAATAATGTCTTTTATTTTTTAAAAAAAAATTACAATTAATGTATTTAATAGAATAGTAAAACACTAAAATGAAATGCTATGAGCCATTCCCCAAAGAAAGTCCATAAGTGGTCTATTATCACAGTCATTGAACACTGTCCGAATTCGTGCTTCACATTCACGGTCCCGTTTTTTTTGTAAGGGTCGTGGTATTCCTCGTAAAATCGATTCTACATCAAGCTCAACTCGATTTTGTTCTTTTTGTAATTCCTTTATGATTTTGTAAACACCTAAATGTGCAGTACCTACAAAATTTTGAGTTCGTGGAAATGCATAATCGATATTATCAATAAAGACTAGTGCCGTAATCCAAAAAAGGAAAAAGTATGGTTGCAAAAGTGGTCGCAAAGGTAATTGCAACCACTTTTTATATGCCGTAAATACAATTACTACCATCATCACAATTTACAGCACTAGTCTTTAATTATCAACAACTGACCAGAAGTCAGGTGGAAATAATGGTGGTGCTCGAATTGCATTCCCATGTCTTAATGTGCATCTTGTTCTACCATGCACATAGTAATCTTTGAACCATTCTACGATTTCGTTAGCCTCCAGAGGAATATCATCCTTTAATTGATCAAATGCTGCAGGAATGTCGTCAGGAGGCAAGAAAGCAAGTGCAGGAATGTGTCTAATTTTTAAACTGAAATTTTCGTCAGTCCCATATTGAACACTAAGTCCAGAAGCTTGTACTTTCCGGTAAATGCTCCGAGCCAAATGAAATAAACATCCCTTGTTTTGGACACCTTGAAATTTTCTACGAGCAGCATTGATGGCTGCTTGTTCGAAATCAGTTAAAATAAATTGTGGCCGGAGAAGAACACCATTTTCATCACCAAAGTCAACCAATCCCTGAAACAAATTCCTATAACATTCTTCCGATTTTCTGGACATTAGTGCATAGACAAGTGGCATTATTTGTGAATTTTCATCTCTACCAACACGTCCATGAATTGAATATAACTGTCTAAATATATTTGGAACTGTTTTAAATGTTCCATCCATAATCCAGAAAGGGGATTGTTCCAGATATTGGACATTAGCAATGGTTGTAAAAAGCAATATTCTATCTTGATCCAGGTCAATATCTTTAACCAAAAAGTCTGATCCACTTAGAGTCTTTGTAAATCTTCAGGAACAATAAGTTCATTTAAAGATTCTGGTTCTACAGGAAGATCAGAGCTCCTAATTTGATTAATTGTTTGACGAAGTGCATCACGAGATGGAAGGTATGGATGCGTTTTGTGAGAGATACTAGCAGTTGTGGTTTGAATAATTTGTGCAGGTGGTTCATTAGTCTCTTTTCCTTTCTCTTTTAAAGTATTAACGGTTCTTATAACATTGACTCGGCTTGCCTCCGCAGCATGATTATGATCTGTAACTTTTTGGAGATGATGTTGTCCTTCAACCAACGTGGTAACTGCTCGGCCTTTACATTGTAATGCATCACGTTTTTCACAACGCCAGTAATAAGAATTGTCACGATTTTTATTTTTGCACATAATAAAACCATGAATATTAATTTTGTCTTGACCACGATTAGAAGAAACAATTTCATAAACAATATTATTCATTCTTAAATATATGTGATATGATTATGATAATTATGATAGTTATTATTAAATTAAGAAAATTTTTATTGATGTCTTGGCGAATTATAGTTATATTTATAATGAAAAAATTGTCATGCAGACAACAAGCAAACCATACTCTTTCTGGGTATCAAGTGATTGGTAATAATAATTAATTGTTGATTTTAAAATTTTTAAACCCATCTTTGTACAAAGTAGGTTTTGGCCAAATTCCTTTATATTTACAAATTAAAAGATGTGCACAATAAACAAACACATTTCTATTGTTTAATAAATCAGATATATTTTACTCTTTCGAGTTAGCAAGTGATCGGTAACCAATTAAAAAATTAAATACTAACCAAATTTATCAAATCTAAAAAAATAAACAAAAGAAAAATTTATTATTATTGTTTTTTTAAAAAACAAGTTTATAGAGCATGCATAGTTATGATGCTAGCCAAAAATTGACAAGTATTTATTTATTTATTTAACACAATATTATTATTAAAGTATACTTTTGTAATTAAAGCACAAAATTCGTCTGATAACTTGATTGTAAGGTTTCTGGTCTAATATACCTAACTCTATATAAAAAACGTTGAAAACCCCAAATCGATAAAATAGTTTGAGCTTTGAGAAACAGTTTGGCTAGAAACCTTACTTGATTGTCAGACCCATTTAATCGTACGATTTTAATAATATCAAAACTAATTTTCAATTTAATGATTTAGCATAACATATGCATTGCACTGTTTAGTATCTACTACTACCATTTAATTTATTTATTATTAATATAATTTGCATTTGTATGATTGTAATTAAGAAAGAAATTTGATATTATACATTCCTGATGGAATTCAGAAAATTCA